GAGCTTTCTTTTGGTGGTATTTAATCGCCACTGGGCGCTTTACTTTTTGCGCTATAAATAAAAAAAGTGCAAAAAATTTGAAAAAAAAAGTTTCTTTGTTTCTATTATAAAATTTTTCAAACAGGTATTTTTTCTCCTTTACTGATGTGCGTTGATGAGGCAGCACTGATGGACACTGATAGGCGGCACTGATGGGCACTGATAGGCAGCACTAAAGGGCACTGATAGGCAGTACTAATGAGGTGGCACGGATAGGCGGCACTGATAGACAGCACTAATGAGGTGTCACGGATAGGCGGCACTAATATGCAGCACTGATAGGCGACACTGATAGGTGACACTGATGATGGGTACTGATAGACGGCACTGACTGGCATCACTGCTGGGCACTGACTGGCGGCACTGACTGGCACAACCCCTGGGCACTGACTGGTGGCACTGACTGGCAGCACTGCTGGGCTGCACTGGTGGGTGGCACTGGTGGGCAGCACTGCTGGGTGGGCACAGGTGGGTGGTACTGGTGGGCACAGGTGGGTGGGCACAGGTGGGTGACACTGCTGGGCACAGGTGGGTGGCACTTCTGGGCACAGGTGTGTGACACTGCAGAGTGGCACAGGTGGGTGCACTGCTGGGCACAGGTGGGTGCACTGCTGGGCACAGGTGGGTGATCTGCTGGGCACAGGTGGGTGGAGCTAGTGGGCGCACTGCTGGGCACAGGTGGGCGGAACTTGCGGGTGGAACTGCTGGGCACCGATCATCAGGGCACTGATCATCAGTGCCCTGATGATCGGTGCCGATCCCCGCTCTGACAACTGCCGGTTCTCGGCAGTACTTTCCTCACGATCTGACAGCGTGAGGAAAGTGCAGCCGAGAACCGGCACTTGCATTTCCCTGTGATCAGCGTGTCATTGGACACCGCTGATCACGTGGTAAAAGGCCGCTGTGATTGGCCTTTTACCACATAACGTGATCAGCTGTGTCCGTAGGACACAGCGATCACGGAGATCGCCGGGTGCGCGCCCAGGAGAGCGCGTTCTGGGAGGACGTCATATGACGTCCACTCAGAACTGGCCGGCCGCAGTGCAGCCGTCATTCGGCTATCTGTGGTCGGCAGGTAGTTAATCCAGTCCAGTCATGTGATCCACTGTAAGGGTGTCAGTGAATGGCGGTTGCAGGGGAGAGAAGGGAGCGCTGATTACGGCTGGGACAGGGGAGCATATGTGTGATGTCATGCCTCCTGGAATTCCCAGCCAATGTTGAGTGCTCCCTGACTAAGGCTTTCACACTGATCTGCCGCAAAAAAACACCCTTTTATGTTAAGGGGCACTCTGATGGGTCCATTTTATGTTAAGGGGGCACAAATGGGCACATACTGTGGAAAGTGGCACTCTGATGGGCACATGTGATGGAAAGGGGCACTCCGATGGGGAGTATGATGTAAAGGGGCACTCTGATGGGGTAATATGATAGAAAGGGGGACTTTTAGTGTAAGGGGGCACTCTAACGGGAATACCTGATGTAAGGTGGCAACGTGATGGGGATAACTGATGTAAAGGAACACTGATGGGCACACCTGATGTGATGGGAATACATGATGTAAAGTTGCACTCTGATGATGACACCTAATGTAAGGGGGCACATGGATGGGCAATCCCTATTCGGACCTCGGCCAGAAGAATATTTTAGTGACCAGATCCCCTTGAATTTTAATTCAGTACCCCGATATATACCAATTTTCTGATTAATACAAGTATTAGCTCATATATTAGCTGTCTTTTTTGTTTCTGTTCTAGTAATACATTCTTTGTAAGAAAACAGTTGTGCACACACTTCAGATACTTTTTATTTGCAAGCAGTTTTGATCTTTTCCTAGCTAGTGGATACAGTGTTAATCCTTTGTAACAAATAATCACAATGCACATCTTCAAGTCATGGAAGCTTTCATATTCCTAACAAGAGTGCCTTTCTCCTATACTTTATGCATGCGCTAAGGCTAGGTTCACATCTGAGCAGGTGCAGGAGGGTGTGCAATTGCACACCTTCCCACAACCCGCAGAGAAAAATGTGCTGCTGCTTGGGATATGCTTGGGATATGCGTCGGGGTGCCATTAATCCTAATCCATGCACTGAGAGCTAGAGTGCTATTTCCTGTACTAATAATCCAAAAAAAAAAATCACATTTTGTTGCTTTGCTGGTTGAAATGAAGACAGACACAGTTTTTGTTTTATCCAACTGTATTTACTCAGTGCAATTTATAACATTCAATTGAAAAGATATAACACAAACATGTCAGAAAAAAAAAATCTAAAATTCAAAAGTAGAATCACTGAGTTGGAAAAAGGATAACCTCCTAAAAATTACTTGTAAAGTCAATCAGGTGTAGCTAATCACCTTCTCAATGGCACACAAAGCCACTTGACTTTCAACTGTGAGCGGCTGTGGTAATTTCGATTAGCTCAGCATGCAAATAGCTTTCCTGGAGCCTTTCAGTCCCTTGTAGTGCAACTGAAGTAAACAATCAACTACGAGTGGCAAGGCACTGTCAAAAGATCTCCGGGATAAAGTTGTGGACAGGCATAAGTCAGGAGATGGATACAAAAAAACTTCAAAGGCTTTGTCAATGTGTAGAAGCACAATGAAGTTTATTATTAAGAAGTGGAAGATATTTGGTACAACACATACCCTACCTGGATCAGGATGTCCCTCCAAACTGATTGAAAGAGCCAGAAGGAAACTAGTCAGAGAGGCTACCAAGAGGCGTACAGTAACTTCAAAGCAGGAATTTCTGACAAAGAGTGGTCATTGTGTGCATGTGACAACAATATTACAAATTCACCACAAATGTGGCTTGTATGGGAGGGTTGCAAGAAAAAAGCCACTCCTCAAGAAAGGCCAGATGCAGTCATGACTGAGATTTGCCAAAATGCACCTTGAAGATTCTGAAACCACATGGAAAAAGGCGTTATGCTCAGATGAGAGTAAAAATTAATTATTTGGCCTCAACGCTAAACGATATGTCCATTATAGCTCACCATCCAAATAACACCATTCCTACAGTAAAGCATGGAGGTGGTAATTATTATTATTATTATTATACAGTATTTATATAGCGCCAGAAAGGTTTGCTCAGCGTTGTACATTATAGTGGAGGACAGAACATGAGACAATACGGTAACAAAACAATACACGAGGGGTTCGAGAGCCCTGCTCTTTCGAGCTTACAATCTAGGAGATATCCTGTTATGGGGATGTTTCTCTGCTACAGGGACTGAAGCACTTGTCAGGATAGAAGGAATAATGGATGGGGTAAAATACTGTCAAATTCCTGAGGAAAATCTGCTGTCCTCTGCCAGGAAGTTGTCAATGGGAAGAAGGTTTACCTTCCAACATGACAATGACCCAAATCACACAGCAAAAATGACCATACAGTGGTTGAAGGAGAAAAAGGTAAATGTTCTTGCATGGCCTAGTCAGAGCCCAGATTTAAACCCCATTGAAAATCTGTAGAACGACTTAAAGGCTGCAGTCCACAAACGGTCACCATCAAATTTAACTGAACTTGAGCAGTTCTGCAGAGAAGAGTGGGCAAATATTGCAAAGTTTAGATGTTCAAAGTTAGTAGAGACATATCCCAACAGGCTAAAGACTGTAATTAAAGCAAAAAAAAAAAAAAGGGTGGTCCAACAAAACACTGACACAAGGGGGTGATCCTTTTTCCAACTCAGTGATTCTGTTTTTGAATGTTTTAATTTTTTTTCTGGCATGTTGGTGTTATATCTTTCACTTGGATGTTATAAGCTGCAATGAGTAAATACAGCTGGATAAAACAAAAACTGTGTCTGTCTTCATTTCAGGCTGCAAAGCCTGCAAAATGTAATTATTTTAAAGGGGGGATTATTTTCTATACCCACTGAACACACACACACACACACACCACACACACACACACACACATATATGCAAATATTGACATATTGCAATATCAATCTTTTTCCATTATTCAAGAACAACCTCTTTTAGAGCCTGGATGCTGGATGGAGAGAGATGCTCAACTTGTCTCTTGAGAATTCCCCATAAATGTTTGATTGGGTTTAGATCAGGAGATATACTTGGCTACTGGTTCACTTTCACCCAATGCAACAGTGGCCTTAGATGTGTGTTTTGGATCATTGTCATGTTGGAAAAGTGCGCGATGACCAAGGACACGGAGTGATGGTGGCATCTTCTCTTTTAATATAGAGCAGTACATCTGTGAATTCATGATGCCATCAATGAAATGCAGCTCCCCGACATTAGCAGCACTCATGCAGCCCCACAGAAAGGCACTGCCATCACCATGTTTCACTGTAGGCACCATGCATTTTTCTTTGTACTCCTCACTTTTGCGTTGCCATACAGTTTTGAAGCCATCAGTTCCAAAACATTTATCTTGGTCTCATCACTCCAGAGTACAGAGTCCCAGTAGTCTTCTTCTTTTTCAGCATGGGCCCTGGCAAATTCTAGGTGGGCTTTTTTGTGCATGGGTTTTAGGAGAGGCTTCCTTCATGGACGACACCCATGCATGGCATTCCTCTGCAGTGTACACCATATTGTGTCACGGGAAACAATCACCCCAGTTTGTCTTTCTACTTTTTTAGCTAACTGCGAGGAATTTGCATGGCAATTTTCTTCAACCCTTCTCATCAGAAGACACTCCTGTTGAGGTGTTAAAGTGTTACTAAACCCACAACAGTAAAATCAGTCTGGATATGCAGTAAAGCTTGCTTGTTGTACTCATTGGGGAACCTAAGGGGTTAATCCTCTGCATTGTGTAAAAAAGCCCTTTGATCTTCTATTCTCTGCCCCTCCTAATACGACAGACTGATTCCGTAGCCACATTCACATGCTCAGTTTGGTGTGTATTGCTAGAGAGGTTTTCTTTTTTCTTGGGAGAGTGCATGTGATCAACAGAGGGCCAATCGGCACTGTCTAGACAGAGGGTCAGGGGTTTTGCATCCTCCTAGAGCAGAAAAAGAAAACTCCTCCTACAAGCTTTAACCAGTTGTCTGCTGAAGTCACAAGATTGCTATATACTGCTGATGAGAAAAGGTATTTAGCAGTTTATATTTACTAAAATAATTGTACTTCCATGTAGTGTGTACTGTGGGAGACCAGATATAGTGAATGCAGGGTCTTGGGTTTAGTAACTGTAATGCAAGACTGGACACAAACACCAAGAGCAAGTCATACACACTGCACAGGTACGATCAACCAGCACTGACACCATAGTTTCTAAGCTTTGTGAGGGACACACTTCCAAGTATAAAGCTGCCCTGTCACATTATGCAGCATTCACTCAGCACCCCAAGAAATAACAGAATCCAACTGCAGTATTCTTGGACTGTCAAAGCCTCCACTTTTATTATCACACAATACACAGGAGGATATATCTTATGGTCATGACAATCTGCATAATAACACATACCAATAGTAATGTGAGTATTGCAGCGTGAAACAAAAATATCTTTTGACAGCGTCACAACATAGAATTAATACATTACTAAAGCTATGGGAGGAAGGGAAGGAAGAGTCCTCATCAAAACCACGGTGCACAGGAGATCATGGAGAAGCCTAGAACACGATCGATCGATGAGGTCGTGCAGCTTCGGCAAAAGTCCCAGCATCAGAGCTTCCCCCACACGCATGGGATGGCCTCTGATCTCATCGTCTCTAGGCCCCTCTTAAATATCCTGGTTCAGTGCCTCTGGACACATTGCAAGAGTGAGCGGCGCCTTTTCCTGTTGCAAAAAGTGTTATTGCCGGAAAACACCAAATGGTTCTGTGAGGTAACAGAGTCACATCCAGTCACCTACCTGCACAAACAAGTCTTATCTAATCTAACTTAAACATTTCTAACTGCACACAAAAGTCTTATACTGCATAAAAATGTCTTATCTAATTTAAGCAGTTCTAATGTCTTGTGACTCTGTAAGTTTCCTTTAGCCTAGAAAATGACATCAATGTCATTCCCCGTGCTTATGGCAAATAGGCAGCAATGCTTTATTTTAAAGATCCCCCAAGAAACCAAAGGCCCAAAGCCAACACATTTCTTAGGCATTACAGTAACACTTTAACTACTGTGGACTGCATGGATGTCTCTGTGAGATGGTTGCAGTTTGGACCACAGAGCAATGGAAAAAGGTGGCCTGGTCTGATAAATTCAAGAATGGTTTGAGGAATACAACAAAGAGTTTGAGGTATTGACTTGGCCTCCAAATTCTCCAGATCTCAATCCAATTGAGCATCTGTCGGATTTGCTGGAAAACCAAGTCCAATCCATGGAGGCCTCATCTTGCAACATATAGAACTGCTGTAGGATCAGCTACCGATGGCTTGGTTCCAGATACCACAACATACCTTCAGAGGTCTACTGGAGTCCATGTCTCAATGGGTTATGATGGGTGGTCTTAATGATTTTTTTGATTGGTGTATATTTGCAGTCAACGCAGAGGGCTGTTCTGCAAATATAAACCTTTTTATAAAACATAAATGAACCCCAGCAAATGTCAAACCCACATTAACGAGACCCTGTCACCACCAACTACCCTGACAACTAACCTCAGATTATGACAGAAGCGTCCTCCACTACAGTGCTTCTGTGAATAATACAAATTGCCAGTCTGTGCGCAAGCTGCCATTTCTAACCTCTCCTGAAAACACTAGTTTCCTGGCTGTCCACTGACTCAGTGACTTTAGTGTTTTTTCTTTTGAATAAGTTTGCAGGTTAAGAGTTGTGACTTCACTATAACTGATCTACATGTTTGTTAGAGGTCAGTATGTAAAGTGATTGAAGGGTCAGCCATGTAGCCAGCATTTTCCGAGGCAGTATTCATCGGTGGTAGCCTCTGTATTTTTCTCAGCGCAGGCTCCTATTCCATTCTGGACACCGTCCATTGAAGTATATTCGTACTGCTGTGCCAGATAGAGCATTTGTGTTCTGTGCATTGAGCAGTTGTTATCGACCTAGGGGATCGATCTGCCCTAAAGGATCATTTCAAGACAGATGTACATTAGATGTATTGTTCAGAACTCAGCAGTGTTATTACATGGAGTCTATTTACTCCAATCATTAAAGCGCAGTAGATGTCTTACAATGCACATGGGACTTCGGATGGTTTCCATAGTAACAGGACAGCTGTATCTTTACTGCTCATTGAGAGAACAGTCTTCACAGGAACTTAATGTATATGGCAATAAAAAGATGGAACACAACTGTTTTGAAACCCAGAACCTTGTCATTGATAACTCCTAATTTTGGGAATTTATGGTTTTCTTATATCACATATGTTTAATTTGTGCTTTGGGATCTGGGCGCATTGTTAACAACCTTTTTCTAAGAGCTGTAGCACCAATCACAGAGATTGTCCAGTATGTTAGAAAGTTTGTTGATCAAACGTTAGAAATGTCAGGGTTGTCAAAATGGCGGCCCTCCAGCTGTTGCAAAACTACAAGTCCCATCATACCTCTGCCTTTGAGAGTCATGCTTGTAACTGTCAATCTTGCAATGCCCCATGGGACTTGTAGTTTAGCAACAGTTGGAGGGCTGCCAGTTTGACACCTGTGCATTAGATCATTCAGAAAAATGGACCTCTGCAGAGCAGTCCTTTCACTGTGTGTGTGTATATAGTGGAGACTGACGGGAGCGTCTCAGACGCCACAGGTGCTTATAGAGCAGGCACTGTATGAGACCTGTAGAGGGACACTATTGAGTGCTTTCAGTGATCACATTTTTCACATATTTTAAAGCAGTTTTAACCCAAAAGCAAACATTTATTATAATGCAGCTTACCAATTCTTAGATGTGATGGCTGCATTAGTTTTATTTTTTTTAGGCTTTCTTTCCTTTATTTTTACTTAGTGATCTGGCCAGTATGTTTGCTGTTTTTCAACAGAACACGCTGTCCTGCAGATGTAGCAGTTAAGAGGGTTGAGACAAACCATTTAACACTGACGAGGTGCTTACAGTGATCAGCTTTTATTTAATTATGTTAAAATGTTACTAAACCCACAACAGTCTGTATATGCAGTAAAGCATGCTTGTTATACTCACTGTGGAACCCAAGGGGTTAATTCTCTGCATTGTGTAAAAAGGTCGTTTGATTTTGTCTTCTCTGCACCTCCTCTTGTTCAAATGTCAACCCATAGCCCTTCTGCACATGCTGAGTTTAGGGTATATTGCAAGAGAGGTTTTTTTTTTTTTGGGAGAGTGCATGTGATCAGTGCAGTGCCAATCAGCACTGTCCAGACAGAAGTCAGGGGTTCTGCATCCTCCTAGAGCAGAAAGAAAACTCCTCCTACAAACTTTAACCAGTGCTCTGCTGAAGTCATAAGACTGCTCTAACTTCTGATGAGATAGGTATTTAGCAGTTTATATTTACTAAAATAATTGCACTTCCATGTTCTGTGTACTTTTGGAGACCAGATATAGTGAATGCAGGGTCCTGGGTTTAGTAACACTATCTCGAAAGAACAAAACTGTTGCTGTAACTGCTTAAAACATGGTCCCTAGAATTTGTCTTCAGTGCTGCTGTCAAACGTTGTCTCTGTAGCTCCTTCATCCTGTGTGTAGGCACTCTTATACAGGAGATGTGTTACTGGCTAGATCACCAGGCAAAAGCAGAGAGGAAAAAGCTTAAAAATTAAAAATTAATTTTTTTATACTTTTACCTACAGGCAGGCTTATAATAAAGTTTACCTGTAGGTAAAATGAATATCTCCTAAATGTGCATTGTGTAGGAGATATTCTAGTGAGTGGCAGCTGGTGACATCACTGGCGCATGCTCTCTGAAGGAATGGCATACTGATCTTTCAGAGCTGTGTGCTGCGGCCATAGCTCCCGTGCGCATGCGTGGGAGTGACGTCATTGCGACTTCAGCCATTCAAGTGGAAGTGGAAGACTGGGTGAAGATGGAAGCCTCTGCAGTGGAGGGCTTTGTTCTCAGGTAAGTCTGTCATAATGTGCTTGTATGCAGTGCATATTAGCACATTATGATTACATTGCAGGGGATTTTTTTTTTTCTACCGCTTTACGTTATGCCTCAGAGTCACTTGTTGAAATCCCCACAATCTCAATTTAATCTCAGTAGTGGTCAACTTACTTCTTATTGGGGCCTCAAGTGCAGACGCTGACATGACCAAAAGGCCACACATAGGGGTTTATTTACTAAAACTGGAGCATTCAGAATCTGGTGCAGCTGTGCATGGTAGCCAATCGGCTTCTAACTTCAGCTTGTTCGGTTAAGCTTTGACACCAACAACAAAAAAAACTTGAAGCTGATTGGTTTCAGTGCAGAGCTGCACTAGATTTTGCACCCTCCAGTTTTAGTATATCAACCTCCATGACATTAAGTGAATGTAATGCAACGGGCAATCGAGAGAGTGTAAGCATGGTACAGGAGTTGTTAGAGACTGGAGATCTGTTTAAGGAGTTGCTAGAGTTCATTGCTATTATAGCCTCTTTACATATCAACACATGCACGTTTGTGCTGCCTACTGCCCCCTTAAAATTATCTTTTGAAACAGTTGACATTTCTCACAGCAAGATCCATTAAAAAAGGTAAGAAAAAGTGTGAAAGAAATAAACCATGCAGACATCATACATACTAGGAGGGGTACAACTGGGGGAATCAATGGTGGAGAAGGATCTGGGAGTTCTGGTCGATCACAAGCTTAATAATGGCATGCAATGCCAATCTGCAGCTTCTAAAGTGAGCAAAATCCTCTCTTGTATTAAAAGAAGTATAGACTCCAGAGAGAGAGATATCATATTACCCCTGTACAAATCATTAGTAAGACCTCATCTGGAATATGCAGTTCAGTTTTGGGCACCAATTCACAAAAAAGAACATTGGGGAACTGGAGAAAGTGTAGAGAAGGGCAACCAAACTGGCAAAAGGCATGGAGGAGATCAGCTATGAGGAAAGATTAGAGGAACTGAATTTATTCTCTCTTGAGAAGAGGAGATTAAGGGGGGATATGATCAACATGTATAAATACATCAGTGGTTCATATAGTGAACTCGGTGTAGAGCTATTCACCCTGAGGTCATCACAGAGGACAAGGGGGCACTCTTTATGTCTGGAGGAAAAGAAATTTAATCTCCAAACACGGAAAGGATTCTTCACAGTGAGAGCTGTGAAAATGTGGAATAGACTCCCTCAAGAGTTGGTTCAGGCCAGCTCAGTGTACTGCTTTAAAAAAGGCCTGGATTCTTTCTTGGATACACAGAATATAACTGGTTACTATTTATATGTAAAGTTGATCCAGATCAGGGGAATATCCGATTGCCTCTCGGGGGATCAGGAAGGAATTTTTTTCCCCTGCAGGAGCAAATTGGATCATGCTTTGCTGGATTTTTTGCCTTTCTCTGGATCAACTGTGGGTGAAGGATTATAACTTTTTTTTTTTATATGGTTGAACTGGATGGACTATTTTCAGTCAGACTAACTATGTTACCAAACTGTTACCAACTAGAATCTACTTTTATTTGCTGGCCTGAGTAAACACCAAAACAGACCACTTTCAGAAGGGCCCTGGGTGCAACACACTAAGCGTCAAAGGGCTGCATGTGGCCCCCAAGGCTGCAGGCTGGGCACCAGGGCAATAGCGAATTTGTGCTTCCAGAATAGTCATCTTGCAGGCTTTACTTAGGAACATCCAAAACTCTCAGGTGTGCAGGAGTAACTTAATTGTGGCTATGAGATCTCACTGTTGGAGTATCCAAGACCTAAAAAGACCCATGGCTGAGTTAACCCACCTGCAGAAACTTTTACATTTGGGAAACTTTCAGAGGAGTCCTCAAAAAAGAGGGTAACCATTCCAAAGCACAGGAGTTGAATGAAGTATGTGAGTTGGCACTAAGTTCTAGGTGAACTGGTTAACATAGGAAATCAGCAATGTAAATGCCATACTGTGCTGCAAAAGTTAGGACTTTAAAGATAGTTTGTGATAGTTGTCATGTAATACTGCTTTACACTAACATAAAAGCATAAAAGCAAACAGGAAAATTTACATACGGCAAACCCAACATCACTTCCATGGCATAGTGGCTTCGTAATTAGTGATGAGTCCTCGCAGGGCTAGAATTTTGGGTTTGTTACCCATAAGTGGTCAATCTGCCTAGAAGTTTTATACTTTCCTTGTGTTTGTTTGGGCCTCCTCCCACAATCCATTAAAAATACTGGTTGTCCTATATCCATAGTTGCTTGTATAGTGTTCGCACAGCTCTGGTAGGGACATTAGACTGTAAGCTTCTTTGGGCTAGGATGGAAGATAGCATGTATCAACAGGCATTTTCATGACTGAGATAAACAGTTGTGTGTTTTGTTCGTAACACTGCAGAATATGTTGGCATATTTCTAAGTAAAATAAATAAATAGATCCCCAAGGAGAGAAGAGGGGGAGCTGTAACGTCATTCTACCATTTCCAGGTGAAGAAGCAAGCGATGATGCGTAATGAGGATCCGGCACTCATGTGTATAGAGCCTAGGGATACGGATTTTATCATGTGAAAGAGAAAAAAAAGTTTGGTATCATTTCAGAACAAGGTTTTGTTGTGTAATGTACTCTATGTCAAACGTAGTATGACATTCTTAACAATCCATCTGTTGGAGTATATCCATATGCAGAGCAGCTTTAATATGTCCATGATATTGGAGAAAAAAATATAGAATATAATTACTATATTTTGTGTCCATTCTAATGGACATGAAAGCATGATAACTACAGATCATTGCAATGGAAACATTTCCTTCCCTGCTTCATTTTTTTTCTGTAATGTTGTAGGATTGATTTAAAGTGATTGTAAAGATTTGTTCTTTATTTTTTGTTTTTTTTTGTACTCACCTGTTCTGTGCAATGGTATTGTACAGAGCAGCCTCGATCCTCCTCTTCTGGGGTCCCCTGCCAACTGCCCCCTCTTCTGAGTGCCCCAATAGCTAGCCACTTGGACAGCACTCATGTGGACTTGATCTCGAGATGCGCTGTGTGTGTCCATAGACACATACAGTGAGGTTCAGCCCCACCCCCCACTCTCTGCATCCTGGTTTTGACTGACAGCAGTGGGAGGGAATGGCTCCCACTGCTGTCTCTGAGCCCATGAAGGCTCTCAGGCATTGCACTGGATCGAGATCAAGCTCAGGTAAGTATTTTGGGGGGAGGGGGTTCACGGACGTTTTTTTTTTACCTTAACTTTTACAGGCAGTTTAAAGTGGTTCTATTGTCTTAAGAATTTTTACCTTAATGCATTCTATGCAGTCCTCCCCCCCAGCCCCACCCTTTTTCTTACCTGAGCCTGATCCGATCAAGTGATATGTACAAGGGCAGCAGCTCTAGCTGTCTTTGGCTTCCACTGCTGTCAATCAAATTCTGTAATGGGAGCAGGGGGCGGGTCTGTGCCACCCTCTCTGTGTCAGTGGACACAGACTGGGTGGCTCGGACACAGACACGGTTGAAAGCGGCTTTCTATGGGGGCACCCGCCATAGAGGAGAGGTCTGGAGCGCAGGCGGGGGATGCCAGAAGAGGAGGATTGGGGCAGCTCTGTGTAAAAGCATTGCACAGAGCAGGTAATTATAACATGTTTGTTACTTTAATAAAGAAAAAACAAAGGTTTAATATCACTTTAAAAGGTAACTCCAATTTCATGTGAAAAAAAATCAACAAATAAACAAAGATATAGCATTTACAATTGCAACTAAATTATATTGTAATTGAATGTTTTGTAAAAATGTGCTTTCCTTTTCAATCTGCAGAGCTGTAATTCTGTAAAATGCAATGCAATATGGCTACCTGGAGGTGTTCTGTATACAGAGTGTGTACAGAACTCCCCCTGAAAATGTCATTTCCAGCCCGTGTCTGGTTGGCTTACTGATTTTCCCAGATGTCTGGACTAAGATACAAGTCACATTTTTGGCCTCCCCTCAACAAAATTGTCATTTTTGGTAAAATACTCCCTATGGGAAATCACGTCTAAATGGATGCAGACCCTGCAATTTTCCTCATTAGTGCCCTGCAGATGCAGCAACTGATTGATAATTAATCAGTCACTCCCATACAGATTCACTCTGCACATGGACAAACATCTACTTCTTCAGAATAACAAAAGGTAGGAATCTGCGATAAAGTTTGCTAAAATACTTACAATGTACATTGGCCACCCAGACGGGAAATGTTTTTTTCTCAATAAAAGTGGAGTTAAAGTGATTCTAAAGGTTCATTTTTTTTTTTACAATAACAAACATGTCTATACTTACCTGCTGTGTGCAGTGGTTTTACACAGAGCAGCCTGGATCCTCCTCTTCTTGTCTCCCCCCGCAGGCTCTCCTGGCTCCTCCTGTCTGTCTGGTGCCTCTACAGCAAGCAGCTTGCTATGGAGGCACCTGCTGCTCCGTGTGTCCATTTACACACGGAGCTATGGCTTGGCACCGCCACCTCTCCTCATTAGCT